CACTGTATGATACTGTCAGTGTATGGTACCATCACTGTATGGTACTATCTATGGTACTATCACTGTATGGTACTGTCACTGTATGGTACTATCTATGGTACTATCACTGTATGGTACTATCTATGGTACTATATCACTGTATGGTACTGTCACTGTATGGTACTATCACTGTATGGTACTATTACTGTATGGTACCATCACTGTATGGTACAATCTATGGTACTGTCACTGTATGGTACTATTACTGTATGGTACTATCACTTGTCTGCACCATGAGCCAAAGCAACTCACTAGTTGGCTCTGCTCTGACGAGTGAGAGAGAACGAGAGCAGCAGGATTTACATTTTGACTAAAGATTTGACTGCCGACACTCAGGGTTCGAATCCCGGTCGGACCAGGGCCTTTCTGAGTGGAGTTTGCATGTTCTCCCCGTGTCTGCGTAGGTTTCCTCTGCGTGCTCCAGTTTCCCCTACCACTAAAAACATGTACAATAGGTCTGACAGCGCCCCCTGTAGGTGACCCCGCTCCCATCTCTGTGTGGACTGAGAGACTAATGCCCACAGTTCTAAACCTGGTCTGAGAAAGGCGCCATATAAATAAACATTACTTACTTACATTCAGAGAGACCAGAGAGAGACCAGAGAGAGACCAGAGAGAGACCAGAGAGAGACCAGAGAGAGACCAGAGAGAGACCAGAGAGAGAGACCCTGACCTGGACACTGTAGTGCGTGTCTTCGTCCAGGTCCCAGAGCATGCACCAGTGACTGGACGTGTTGACCTCTCGGATGGAGCGCTGCATCAGACCGTCCTGTCTCTGCAAACACACAGACAGAGAAACAGCATCAGAGAATATTCACACAGAGAGAGAGACATGTGTGAGAGAGAGACATGTGTGAGAGAGAGAGACATGTGAGAGAGAGAGACATGTGTGAATGAGAGAGACATGTGAGAGAGAGAGACATGTGTGAGAGAGAGACATGTGTGAGAGAGAGAGACATGTGTGAGAGAGAGACATGTGTGAGAGAGAGAGACATGTGTGAGAGAGAGACATGTGTGAGAGAGAGACATTTGTGAATGAGAGAGAGACATGTGTGAATGAGAGAGAGACATGTGTGAGAGAGAGAGACATGTGTGAGAGAGAGACATGTGTGAGAGAGAGACATGTGTGAGAGAGAGAGACATGTGTGAGAGAGAGACATGTGTGAGAGAGAGAGACATGTGTGAGAGAGAGACATGTGTGAGAGAGAGACATTTGTGAATGAGAGAGAGACATGTGTGAATGAGAGAGAGACATGTGTGAGAGAGAGAGACATGTGTGAGAGAGAGACATGTGTGTGAGAGAGACATGTGTGAGAGAGAGAGACATGTGTGAGAGAGAGACATGTGTGAGAGAGAGACATTTGTGAATGAGAGAGAGACATGTGTGAATGAGAGAGAGACATGTGTGAATGAGAGAGACATGTGTGAATGAGAGAGACATGTGTGAATGAGAGAGACGTGTGAATGAGAGAAGAGACCTGTGTGAATGAGAAAGACATGTGTGAGAGAGAGACCTGTGTGAGAGAGAGACATGTGTGAGAGAGAGACATGTGTGAATGAGAGAGACATGTGAGAGAGAGAGACATGTGTGAGAGAGAGAGACATGTGTGAGAGAGAGACATGTGTGAGAGAGAGACATGTGTGAGAGAGAGAGACATGTGTGAGAGAGAGACATGTGTGAGAGAGAGACATTTGTGAATGAGAGAGAGACATGTGTGAATGAGAGAGAGACATGTGTGAATGAGAGAGACATGTGTGAATGAGAGAGACACGTGTGAATGAGAGAGACGTGTGTGAGAGAGACCTGTGTGAATGAGAAAGACATGTGTGAGAGAGAGACCTGTGTGAGAGAGAGACATGTGTGAGAGAGAGACATGTGTGAATGAGAGAGACATGTGAGAGAGAGAGACATGTGTGAGAGAGAGACATGTGTGAGAGAGAGACATGTGTGAGAGAGAGACATGTGTGAGAGAGAGAGACATGTGTGAGAGAGAGACATGTGTGAGAGAGAGACATTTGTGAATGAGAGAGAGACATGTGTGAATGAGAGAGAGACATGTGTGAGAGAGAGAGACATGTGTGAGAGAGAGACATGTGTGAGAGAGAGACATGTGTGAGAGAGAGAGACATGTGTGAGAGAGAGACATGTGTGAGAGAGAGACATTTGTGAATGAGAGAGAGACATGTGTGAATGAGAGAGAGACATGTGTGAGAGAGAGAGACATGTGAGAGAGAGAGACATGTGTGAATGAGAGAGACGTGCGTGAATGAGAGAGACATGTCTGAATGAGAGAGAGACATGTGTGAATGAGAGAGACCTGTGTGAATGAGAGAGAGACATGTGTGAATGAGAGAGAGACATGTGTGAATGAGAGAGACGTGTGTGAATGAGAGAGACATGTCTGAATGAGAGAGAGACATGTGTGAATGAGAGACATGTGTGAGAGAGAGACATGTGAGAGAGAGAGACATTTGTGAATGAGAGAGAGACATGTGTGAATGAGAGAGAGACATGTGTGAATGAGAGAGACATGTGTGAATGAGAGAGACATGTGTGAATGAGAGAGACGTGTGTGAGAGAGACCTGTGTGAATGAGAAAGACATGTGTGAGAGAGAGACCTGTGTGAGAGAGAGACATGTGTGAGAGAGAGACATGTGTGAATGAGAGAGACATGTGAGAGAGAGAGACATGTGTGAGAGAGAGAGACATGTGTGAGAGAGAGACATGTGTGAGAGAGAGACATGTGTGAGAGAGAGAGACATGTGTGAGAGAGAGACATGTGTGAGAGAGAGACATTTGTGAATGAGAGAGAGACATGTGTGAATGAGAGAGAGACATGTGTGAATGAGAGAGACATGTGTGAATGAGAGAGACACGTGTGAATGAGAGAGACGTGTGTGAGAGAGACCTGTGTGAATGAGAAAGACATGTGTGAGAGAGAGACCTGTGTGAGAGAGAGACATGTGTGAGAGAGAGACATGTGTGAATGAGAGAGACATGTGAGAGAGAGAGACATGTGTGAGAGAGAGACATGTGTGAGAGAGAGACATGTGTGAGAGAGAGACATGTGTGAGAGAGAGAGACATGTGTGAGAGAGAGACATGTGTGAGAGAGAGACATTTGTGTGAATGAGAGAGAGACATGTGTGAATGAGAGAGAGACATGTGTGAGAGAGAGAGACATGTGTGAGAGAGAGACATGTGTGAGAGAGAGACATGTGTGAGAGAGAGAGACATGTGTGAGAGAGAGACATGTGTGAGAGAGAGACATTTGTGAATGAGAGAGAGACATGTGTGAATGAGAGAGAGACATGTGTGAGAGAGAGAGACATGTGAGAGAGAGAGACATGTGTGAATGAGAGAGACGTGCGTGAATGAGAGAGACATGTCTGAATGAGAGAGAGACATGTGTGAATGAGAGAGACCTGTGTGAATGAGAGAGAGACATGTGTGAATGAGAGAGAGACATGTGTGAATGAGAGAGACGTGTGTGAATGAGAGAGACATGTCTGAATGAGAGAGAGACATGTGTGAATGAGAGACATGTGTGAGAGAGAGACATGTGAGAGAGAGAGACATGTGTGAATGAGAGAGACGTGCGTGAATGAGAGAGAGACATGTGTGAATGAGAGAGACCTGTGTGAATGAGAGAGACGTGTGTGAGAGAGACATGTGTGAGAGAGAGAGACATGTGTGAATGAGAGAGACCTGTGTGAATGAGAGAGAGACATGTGTGAATGAGAGAGACGTGTGTGAGAGAGACATGTGTGAGAGAGAGAGACCTGTGTGAATGAGAGAGACCTGTGTGAATGAGAGAGACCTGTGTGAATGAGAGAGACGTGTGTGAGAGAGACCTGTGTGAATGAGAGAGACATGTGTGAGAGAGACCTGTGTGAATGAGAGAGACCTGTGTGAATGAGAGAGACCTGTGTGAATGAGAGAGACCTGTGTGAGAGCTTCCTTTGGCAGAGGTTCTGACACATTTATCTGTTACTGTTTCTGTGAGAAATGGTTAAACTGAGGAAATATGTATCACTCCTGAAAGCACATGTTCCAGAGAGAGACCAGAGAGAGAGACCAGAGAGAGACCAGAGAGAGACCAGAGAGAGAGACCAGAGAGAGACCAGAGAGAGAGACCAGAGAGAGACCAGAGAGAGACCAGAGAGAGACCAGAGAGAGACCAGAGAGAGACCAGAGAGAGAGACCAGAGAAAGACCAGAGAGAGACCAGAGAGAGAGACCAGCGAGAGACCAGAGAGAGACCAGAGAGAGACCAGAGAGAGACCAGAGAGAGACCAGAGAGTAGGCTCATTATAGCTTATATTGGACAAAAATAACATCTAAAAATGATTCTTTGACACCATAAATGTTAATTCCACAGACCAGAGGAAGACATCAACGTGGATTCGACCTTGAATAGAAAAGAGTGAGAGTCCATTCCCAGCTGATTGTGATGTCACATGATCTCCATGGTAACCTTGAGACGGTGACTCTTGGAGACGATATGAGTCCGAGTTTGTGTCAGAATAATAATCTGAAACTGGGTTAGTTCCTCTGTGTTGCATAATAAGCTAGAGCTGACGAAGACGAGGGAGTCAGAGCAGCTTCGAGAACAGACGAAGGACAGAATATCAGACGGACCTGGTTCTGTCTCTGTTCCAGGTCTGAGGAAGTCATGAGGAAGTCATGAGGAAGTCATGAGGAAGTCATGAGGAAGTCATGAGGAAGTCATGAGGAAGTGGCTTTAAATAGTGTGAATGTCTGTGTACAGTACATTATACTGTATATGTTTAGCCCCATTTCCACCAGCCCCTACCCTACCCTACCCCCACCCTACCCTACCCTACCCTACCCTACTCTACTCTACTCTACCCTACCCTACCCCCACCCTACCCTACCCTACCCTACCCTACTCTACTCTACTCTACCCTATCCTACCCCCACCCTACCCTACCCTACCTACCCTACTCTACTCTACCCTACCCTACCCTACCCTACTCTACTCTACTCTACTCTACCCTACCCTACCCTACTCTACTCTTACCCTACCTTACTCTACCCTACTCTACTCTACCCTACCCTACCCTACTCTACTCTACTCTACTCTACCCTACCCTACTCTACCCTACTCTACTCTACCCTACCCTACTCTACTCTACTCTACTCTACTCTACCCTACCCTACTCTACCCTACCCTACCCTACCCTACCCTACTCTACTCTACCCTACCCTACTCTACCCTACTCTACTCTACTCTACCCTAACCCTACCCTTCCCTACCCTACTCTACTCTACCCTACTCTACTCTACTCTACCCTACCCTCTCGCTGGTCTCTCTCTGGTCTCTCTCTGGTCTCTCTCTGGTCTCTCTCTGGTCTCTCTCTGGTCTCTCTCTGGTCTCTCTCTGGTCTCTCTGGTCTCTCTCTGGTCTCTCTCTGGTCTCTCTCTGGTCTCTCTCTGGTCTCTCTGGTCTCTCTCTGGTCTCTCTCTCTGGTCTCTCTCTGGTCTCTCTCTGGTCTCTCTGGTCTCTCTCGAGTCTCTCTCTGGTCTCTCTCTGGTCTCTCTCTGGTCTCTCTCTGGTCTCTCTGGTCTCTCTCTGGTCTCTCTCTCTGGTCTCTCTCTGGTCTCTCTCTGGTCTCTCTGGTCTCTCTCTGGTCTCTCTCTGGTCTCTCTCTGGTCTCTCTCTGGTCTCTCTCTGGTCTCTCTGGTCTCTCTCTGGTCTCTCTGGTCTCTCTCTGGTCTCTCTCTGGTCTCTCTCTGGTCTCTCTCTGGTCTCTCTGGTCTCTCTCTGGTCTCTCTCTGGTCTCTCTCTGGTCTCGCTCTGGTCTCTCTCTCTGGTCTCTCTCTGGTCTCTCTCTGGTCTCTCTCTGGTCAATCTCTCCTCCTGTCGCACCAGCGCTGCCAGACTCATTCATAATTCATCCTTTTTTTCAATTTGTAACCATCAAATGTGATTGGCCCCGGACCAGACCCGAGGATCAGACTGAAGAGTTTGGAGCGAGCCCGAGAAGTGATGCTGCTCAGATTCTGCTAAATGGATCCGTCAGTTCTGCCGCGCTTTGCCGGGAATGTGTCATTTTCTCCAGAGGATGTCGAGTTTGTGATTTCTATATTTTTTTGGACTGAAAGGATGAGATCTTGGATATAAGCTCTTCAAGCACTGCACGGCCTCAGTCCTGGGTCTACAGCCTCAGTCCTGGGTCTACAGCCTCAGTCCTGGGTCCTCAGCCTCAGTCCTGGGTCTACAGCCTCAGTCCTGGGTCTACAGCCTCAGTCCTGGGTCTACAGCCTCAGTCCTGGGTCTACAGCCTCAGTCCTGGGTCTACAGCCTCAGTCCTGGGTCTACAGCCTCAGTCCTGGGTCTACAGCCTCAGTCCTGGGTCTACAGTCTCAGTCCTGGGTCTACAGCCTCAGTCCTGGGTCTACAGCCTCAGTCCTGGGTCTACAGCCTCAGTCCTGGGTCTACAGCCTCAGTCCTGGGTCTACAGCCTCAGTCCTGGGTCTACAGCCTCAGTCCTGGGTCTACAGCCTCAGTCCTGGGTCTACAGCCTCAGTCCTGGGTCTACAGCCTCAGTCCTGGGTCTACAGCCACAGTCCTGGGTCTACAGCCTCAGTCCTGGGTCTACAGCCTCAGTCCTGGGTCTACAGTCCTCAGTCCTGGGTCTACAGTCTCAGTCCTGGGTCTACAGCCTCAGTCCTGGGTCCACAGCCTCAGTCCTGGGTCTACAGTCTCAGTCCTGGGTCTACAGCCTCAGTCCTGGGTCTACAGCCTCAGTCCTGGGTCTACAGCCTCAGTCCTGGGTCTACAGCCTCAGTCCTGGGTCTACAGCCTCAGTCCTGGGTCTACAGCCTCAGTCCTGGGTCTACAGCCTCAGTCCTGGGTCTACAGCCTCAGTCCTGGGTCCTCAGTGCTTTTACAGCGAGACTTTCTGCGGTGAGTCGTTTCTGTGCCAATAAAAATAGAAATAAACAGGAGGAAGTGAGCCATGAATCAGACTCTGGCAACCGCCGCCGTCTGAGGGGGCGGGGCTTATCACGGCGCTCTTTTCTCAGACACAGGAAACATGTAAATACAGACGACCTTCAGAGGTCTACAGGCTGGATCAGAGGTCTACAGGCTGGATCAGAGGTCTACAGGCTGGATCAGAGGGTCTACAGGCTGGATCAGAGGGTCTACAGGCTGGATCAGAGGGTCTACAGGCTGGATCAGAGGGTCTACAGGCTGGATCAGAGGTCTACAGGCTGGATCAGAGGGTCTACAGGCTGGATCAGAGGGTCTACAGGCTGGATCAGAGGGTCTACAGGCTGGATCAGAGGGTCTACAGGCTGGATCAGAGGTCTACAGGCTGGATCAGAGGGTCTACAGGCTGGATCAGAGGTCTACAGGCTGGATCAGAGGGTCTGCAGGCTGGATCAGAGGGTCTACAGGCTGGATCAGAGGGTCTACAGGCTGGATCAGAGGTCTACAGGCTGGATCAGAGGGTCTACAGGCTGGATCAGAGGGTCTACAGGCTGGATCAGAGGTCTACAGGCTGGATCAGAGGGTCTGCAGGCTGGATCAGAGGGTCTACAGGCTGGATCAGAGGTCTACAGGCTGGATCAGAGGGTCTACAGGCTGGATCAGAGGGTCTACAGGCTGGATCAGAGGTCTACAGGCTGGATCAGAGGGTCTACAGGCTGGATCAGAGGGTCTACAGGCTGGATCAGAGGTCTACAGGCTGGATCAGAGGGTCTACAGGCTGGATCAGAGGGTCTACAGGCTGGATCAGAGGGTCTACAGACTGGATCAGAGGGTCTGCAGGCTGGATCAGAGGGTCTACAGGCTGGATCAGAGGTCTACAGGCTGGATCAGAGGGTCTGCAGGCTGGATCAGAGGGTCTACAGGCTGGATCAGAGGTCTACAGGCTGGATCAGAGGGTCTACAGGCTGGATCAGAGGGTCTGCAGGCTGGATCAGAGGGTCTACAGGCTGGATCAGAGGTCTACAGGCTGGATCAGAGGTCTACAGGCTGGATCAGAGGGTCTACAGGCTGGATCAGAGGGTCTACAGGCTGGATCAGAGGTCTACAGGCTGGATCAGAGGGTCTGCAGGCTGGATCAGAGGGTCTACAGGCTGGATCAGAGGTCTACAGGCTGGATCAGAGGGTCTACAGGCTGGATCAGAGGGTCTGCAGGCTGGATCAGAGGGTCTACAGGCTGGATCAGAGGGTCTACAGGCTGGATCAGAGGTCTACAGGCTGGATCAGAGGGTCTACAGGCTGGATCAGAGGGTCTACAGGCTGGATCAGAGGTCTACAGGCTGGATCAGAGGGTCTACAGGCTGGATCAGAGGTCTACAGGCTGGATCAGAGGGTCTGCAGGCTGGATCAGAGGGTCTACAGGCTGGATCAGAGGGTCTACAGGCTGGATCAGAGGGTCTACAGGCTGGATCAGAGGGTCTACAGGCTGGATCAGAGGGTCTACAGGCTGGATCAGAGGGTCTACAGGCTGGATCAGAGGTCTACAGGCTGGATCAGAGGGTCTACAGGCTGGATCAGAGGGTCTACAGGCTGGATCAGAGGTCTACAGGCTGGATCAGAGGGTCTACAGGCTGGATCAGAGGGTCTACAGGCTGGATCAGAGGTCTACAGGCTGGATCAGAGGGTCTGCAGGCTGGATCAGAGGGTCTACAGGCTGGATCAGAGGGTCTACAGGCTGGATCAGAGGGTCTACAGGCTGGATCAGAGGGTCTACAGGCTGGATCAGAGGGTCTACAGGCTGGATCAGAGGGTCTACAGGCTGGATCAGAGGGTCTGCAGGCTGGATCAGAGGGTCTACAGGCTGGATCAGAGGTCTACAGGCTGGATCAGAGGGTCTACAGGCTGGATCAGAGGGTCTACAGGCTGGATCAGAGGGTCTACAGGCTGGATCAGAGGGGTCTACAGGCTGGATCAGAGGTCTACAGGCTGGATCAGAGGGTCTACAGGCTGGATCAGAGGGTCTACAGGCTGGATCAGAGGGTCTACAGGCTGGATCAGAGGGTCTGCAGGCTGGATCAGAGGGTCTACAGGCTGGATCAGAGGTCTACAGGCTGGATCAGAGGGTCTACAGGCTGGATCAGAGGTCTACAGGCTGGATCAGAGGGTCTACAGGCTGGATCAGAGGTCTACAGGCTGGATCAGAGGGTCTGCAGGCTGGATCAGAGGGTCTACAGGCTGGATCAGAGGGTCTACAGGCTGGATCAGAGGGTCTACAGGCTGGATCAGAGGGTCTACAGGCTGGATCAGAGGGTCTACAGGCTGGATCAGAGGGTCTGCAGGCTGGATCAGAGGTCTACAGGCTGGATCAGAGGGTCTGGGGCGTGGGGAGGAGTCGGTGTGAGATGGAGAGAGATTTAGGAGAATTCTTTAATTTTCTTTCTTATTTCACTTCCTGGTTTGTTTTTGTCTCTGGAGAGACTGGAGGAAACACGCAACAGATACGTTGGTTCCACTGGTGCTGGGACAGGACCAGGACCAGGATCAGGACCAGGACATCTCAGACCAGGACCAGGAGAACTCAGATCAGGATCAGGACATCTCAGACCAAGACTAAGGCCAGGACCAGGACCAGGATCAAGACTTTCATTCTACACACATACTCCTTAGACCAGGACCAGAACCTGGACCAGAGGTGACATCAATCTAATACACACAGAGCCTGATATTAGCTTCATTATTCAATAAACCATTTCTATAGTTTTGGTTCATCTGCGACGCTGGTGTTTAAAGCCACAGTGATCCTTCTCACATGGTTCTTTGTCATGGTTCTTAGTCTCTGACTCTGAACCCAGGACCCGCTGACGTACTCACCTGTTGGGAGAGGGAGTACCCGATGACCGTGTCGCCCGGGGGCAGGCTCCAGGTGACCAGGGCGGAGTCGGCCCTCAGCTGGGACACAGACACGTTCACGGGGGCCGCTGGCACCGCTGCAAAACAACACATCAGGATCAGCGCAAAAAGGAAAGTCTAATGTTTAGTTCTGGTCCCTCTGGTCTCTCTCTGGTCTCCCTCTGGTCTCTCTCTGGTCTCTCTCTCTGGTCTCTCTCTCTGGTCTCTCTCTGGTCTCTCTCTGGTCTCTCTCTGGTCTCCCTCTGGTCTCTCTCTGGTCTCTCTCTGGTCTCTCTCTGGTCTCCCTCTGGTCTCTCTCTGGTCTCTCTCTGGTCTCTCCCTGGTCTCTCTCTGGTCTCTCTCTGGTCTCTCTGTGGGAGGTGGGGGGGGGGAGGGGTCCGACTCCAGTCCCAGAGTTTGAGGCGAGTGTCGGGCCCTATCTGCAGCAAAGCCCGGTTCGTTATAGGAGAGACAGCACGATCCACCCCCCCCCGATCATCCCAGAGGAACGCCACGCTGCATCTGTTCATGGAGCGACGCATCAAGTTTCTGTTTCTCATTATTGTGTTTTGGGAATAAAGGGGCGACAGTAGCTCAGTTGGTAGAGCATTGGCCTTAAGGCCAGAAGGTCGTGGGTTCAATTCCCACCTCTACACCTTCTCCATCAACTCCCACTGATGACTGCTGTCGCTGGCAAGACACTTAACCCCACTTTGCCCAAAGCCCCCCACTGAAAGATCAAGGCTATGCTCACACTCAGAGAGCAGCCGTCCTCCTGTGGACTCACCACCTGCAGAGGGTCAGTGAGGGGCTGGTGCTATGAGACTTGGGTGGCATCTCTGACTGCCACCCCCCTGACCCAGAAATGGATTAAAGGGAAGAAAATGGATGGATGGATGGATGGGAATAAAGGCTGAAGCGTCCACAGAGGTGCAGAGGGTCAAGACCGAGATGGAATACTTCTGTTTTTTCTTCTTCCAGGTGGATCATCAAGACTATTGGTCCTCCTAGCCTGGTCTTACCACACCATGGTACTCATTTCATTTCATACTAAGGTCTAGATTGTCTCCATTGACTCCGTGAACAGGTGGGAGGGGCTAACTCCTTTTGCAGATTGAAACCATTGGATCTGAGTTTACCGTGACGTATGTAATGAGCCCGAGTGAGTGAGGCATTTAGCATTTAGCCTAGCTTTAGCCATCTCCTTTGCCGCTAACGGAGCCCGTGGGGAGTAGCGCCACAATCTTTGCAGAGATCACATTTTTTAAACTTTCCTCTTGCTCCAGCTTCAGTTTCTTGATAGAACCAGACCAGAATACTTTACTGTCACATTCTTCACCAAACTAAAACCTTCCCGTTCTCCGCAAACTCTGACGTCACCCACATCTAACTACAACACCCGCCTCCCGCGCTCTCTGATTGGTCGGATGGAATTCAACCGACTGTAATCTCAAACACAGGGACCAGACCCAGACGTTACATACAGGACATGATACTGACCGGAGAGTAGGATGGATAAGACCGGGCTATTGGTCCTCCTGATTGTCAATCATTCTGGAGATATATGACGTGAAGGGCGGTTCTTTCCTCTTATATACCTTTAAGATCTGTTTGTTGTGTTTAATAAAAGCATGCCTTCGGTGTTGCCTTGAGAACTAATTATTGTCCTCCTTATAAAGCATTTTGTAAAGGTTCTCCAGGTTTTCACTCCAACCAAGCAGTGTACACTCCACCCATTTCCAAAAGCCTCCCTTCGCCGCTGTGTTTCATCTTTGAGTGTCCATAAAAAAGCCATATAATAATAAAAACAGAGAAATCAGGTGTTGCCGGCTGTCGGGCAGGTTGCATTGGACCGGAAGTGGAGGCTTTTCTCACAGTTGGAATGTGGTCCATCTCAGAGGACGATTACTCACCTGAGAGAGCGGAGGAGGAGGAGCCTGAATGACTCTATAATCTCTGGACTGTCCCGCTCTATTTTTAACAGTGTAGGCGCCGGAGCCAGGACTGAGGCTGTAGACCCAGGACTGAGGCTGTAGACCCAGGACTGAGGCTGTAGACCCAGGACTGAGGCTGTAGACCCAGGACTGAGGCTGTAGACCCAGGACTGAGGCTGTAGACCCAGGACTGAGGCTGTAGACCCAGGACTGAGGCTGTAGACCCAGGACTGAGGCTGTAGACCCAGGACTGAGGCTGTAGACCCAGGACTGAGGCTGTAGACCCAGGACTGAGGCTGTAGACCCAGGACTGAGGCTGTAGACCCAGGACTGAGGCTGTAGACCCAGGACTGAGGCTGTAGACCCAGGACTGAGGCTGTAGACCCAGGACTGAGGCTGTAGACCCAGGACTGAGGCTGTAGACCCAGGACTGAGGCTGTAGACCCAGGACTGAGACTGTAGACCCAGGACTGAGGCTGTAGACCCAGGACTGAGGCTGTAGACCCAGGACTGAGGCTGTAGACCCAGGACTGAGGCTGTAGACCCAGGACTGAGGCTGTAGACCCAGGACTGAGGCTGTAGACCCAGGACTGAGGCTGTAGACCCAGGACTGAGGCTGTAGACCCAGGACTGAGGCTGTAGACCCAGGACGTATATATAACTTATATAACAAAGATATTATACAAATTATTTTCCAAGACTGTGAGGGAGGGAGGGGGAGGGAGGGTGAGGGGGGGGGTGAGGGAGGGTGAGGGAGGGGGAGGGGGGGAGGGTGAGGGAGGGTGAGGGAGGGGGAGGGAGGGAGGGGGAGGGAGGGAGGGGGAGGGGGAGGGAGGGAGGGTGAGGGAGGGGGAGGGAGGGAGGGGGGGGAGGGTGAGGGGGGGGGGGGTGAGGGAGGGGGAGGGGGAGGGAGGGAGGGGGTGAGGGAGGGGGAGGGAGGGAGGGGGAGGGAGGGTGGGGGGGGGGGTGAGGGAGGGTGAGGGAGGGGGAGGGAGGGAGGGGGAGGGAGGGGGAGGGAGGGAGGGGGAGGGAGGGTGAGGGGGGGGTGAGGGAGGGTGAGGGAGGGGGAGGGAGGGAGGGGGAGGGGGAGGGAGGGAGGGTGAGGGAGGGGGAGGGAGGGAGGGGGAGGGAGGGAGGGAGGGGGAGGGAGGGTGAGGGGGGGGGGTGAGGGAGGGTGAGGGAGGGAGGGTGAGGGAGGGGGAGGGAGGGTGAGGGGGGGGGGGGTGAGGGAGGGTGAGGGAGGGGGAGGGAGGGAGGGGGAGGGGGAGGGAGGGAGGGAGGGGGAGGGGGTGAGGGAGGGTGAGGGAGGGTGAGGGGGGGTGAGGGGTATGAGGGAGGGTGAGGGGGTGAGGGGGGGTGAGGGGGTGAGGAAGGGAGGGGGGTATGAGGGAGGGTGAGGGAGGGAGGGGGGTGTGAGGGAGGGGGGTGTGAGGGAGGGGGGTGTGAGGGAGACAGATGCAGAGATGGGGGAGGGTCAGCATTGATCGGCTGTGAGAAAACTCCAGCCTGAGAGCGGAGACAATGACCTTGTTTGTCTGTGGAGAATGTGACGGACTCAAACAGAACCCAATCGTTTGCATGGATTGGTTTGAATGATCCATCTCTGGTCTCTCTCTGGTCTCTCTCTGGTCTCTCTCTGGTCTCTCTCTGGTCTCTCTCTGGTCTCTCTCTCTGGTCTCTCTCTGGTCTCTCTCTAGTCTCTCTCTGGTCTCTCTCTCTGGTCTCTCTCTGGTCTCTCTCTGGTCTCTCTCTGGTCTCTCTCTCTGGTCTCTCTCTGGTCTCTCTCTGGTCTCTCTCTGGTCTCTCTCTCTGGTCTCTCTCTCTGGTCTCTCTCTCTGGTCTCTCTCTGGTCTCTCTCTCTGGTCTCTCTCTCTGGTCTCTCTCTCTGGTCTCTCTCTGGTCTCTCTCTGGTCTCTCTCTCTGGTCTCTCTCTGGTCTCTCTCTGGTCTCTCTCTCTGGTCTCTCTCTGGTCTCTCTCTGGTCTCTCTCTGGTCTCTCTCTGGTCTCTCTCTGGTCTCTCTCTGGTCTCTCTCTGGTCTCTCTCTGGTCTCTCTCTGGTCTCTCTCTGGTCTCTCTCTGGTCTCTCTCTCTGGTCTCTCTCTGGTCTCTCTCTGGTCTCTCTCTCTGGTCTCTCTCTGGTCTCTCTCTGGTCTCTCTCTGGTCTCTCTCTTTGGTTATTACAGATTATATATAGAGTAAATCTCTCCGTCCCGTGTTGCCGTTGGTTACCGTGATCATGAAACACACGCACAAAGTCAGAAATATGGTAATCTTTGGAGGCACCCGAGACACGTATTATCCTTAAGAACGTCGTTGTGAGTGAGGCTTTGGAGGCGTAACCATGGTAACTGCTACAAGAGTCCACAACAGCACAGGAAGAGAAGAAGACAGAACACGGATCCATACTAAACTGAGACAGGGATGAAAAAAGTCTAAAAAAAGGTTCATGGCTTGGTTTTTGATTTAAAGCTTTTAAAGAGACAGTGGACGATAAATGTGGAGGCCATGGATCTGAGAAGAAACAAAAAACAGTGTGTTCTTGGTTTTGAGGATTTTTTTTTTAAATGTCCAAATTAGCAATGTGGAAAAAGGATTCAAACCAAGAACAAATGTGACGCATGAACGCATGAGGGCCGTGAACATCTGGAACAGTCTCCTGCACGGGTCACCTTTAAAGTGTCTGAACAGAAACCAGTCATGTGACCACAGACTGTGAGGAGCACAGGGACTGGCCTCCTGCTGGGACTCTGAGGAGCACAGGGACTGGCCTCCTGCTGGGACTCTGAGGAGCACAGGGACTGGCCTCCTGCTGGGACTCTGAGGAGCACAGGGACTGGCCTCCTGCTGGGACTCTGAGGAGCACAGGGACTGGACTCCTGCTGGGACTCTGAGGAGCACAGGGACTGGCCTCCTGCTGGGACTGAGGAGCACAGGGACTGGCCTCCTGCTGGGACTCTGAGGAGCACAGGGACTGGCCTCCTGCTGGGACTCTGAGGAGCACAGGGACTGGACTCCTGCTGGGACTCTGAGGAGCACAGGGACTGGCCTCCTGCTGGGACTCTGAGGAGCACAGGGACTGGCCTCCTGCTGGGACTCTGAGGAGCACAGGGACTGGCCTCCTGCTGGGACTCTGAGGAGCACAGGGACTGGACTCCTGCTGGGACTCTGAGGAGCACAGGG